ATATATTTGTAATTACATATTTATGATGAAGTTGCAATATATTACACATAATAAATAATATATTGTGTATAATCATGTACTTGTATCAAGTACTTTATTTGTGCTTTAGCATGTTAGTCAACACATCAAAATAAGTCTACTTCTTAAAAACATGACAAAAGATTATTCAAACATAATGATTTAAAATGTACTTTAAAGAAAAACTTTTAATTATTACAAAGTGAAATTTTTAAAAGTGTTAAGCAACAATCATGAACATTTGCTCTCTTTAAGTATACTTACTACAAGTAATTTTTTAAAGCATTAAAAGTGCTGTCAATACAATTAAGTTTACTTCTTTTTCACAAGGGTAGACATACCATACATAAGTGGAGTGAGGTTGGGGTGGGACTATTTGTTTGGCCCACTAATGACATATAAGGGGAAAGTGTATTTAAAACAGCAGAATTACAGTATTAAGAAATCCTTTTGGTTCTGCTATAGGCACGGAAATTACACACTTCTTCTTTTTAATTAGAGCAGAGATTTGTGCACTTCTCTCGTGATTGACAAAGTGCCTGGCAATGTTCAAGTGTTTCCACAAATCATTTAAACAGGGATAAAATCAAGTAGCTTACATTTGAATCAGTGCATTGGCACAGATTTGTAGACAGAATTTTAACATTTTCTCAAGCAACCTACTGACTAGTCAACTAATATTTCTTAAAGAAGTCCTGTACACTCTTAAAAATAAAGGTGCTTCAAAAGGTTCTTCAAGCGATGCCATAGAAGAACCATTTTTGGTTCCACAAAAAGCCATTCAGTCAAAGGTTCTTTAAAGAACCATCTCTTTCTTACCTTTTTATAATCTGAAGAACCTTCTTTCGCCACGAAGAACCCTTTGTGAAACAGAAAGGTTCTTCAGATGTTAAAGGTTCTTTACGGAACCATTTAGACAAAAAGGTTCTTCTATGGCATCGTGAAGCACCTTTATTTTTAAGAGTGTATAATTGGCTAATTTCATGTTCACTAATCAGACATGTTTGTTGGCAGGTGTTGACATAAGACCAGACACAACCGAATGAAACTGACTTGCAAGAGTCTCGAGACACATTTTTGAAAGGTATTTTTCAGTAAACAACTCATTTTAATTTGCCGCCTTAATCATGCTCATGGCGCAAGATGCTTAAAAAACATCATGAAACATCAACCAAAGACATTTCTGCATGTTAATGGCTGTGTTGCCGGTGTCTTAAAGGCGATGGATTTGAAGACGCAGCTTATCCAAGAGGGTTTCATCGTGCAAACCATAGACATAATAGATACGCTCGCCCGCACGTCAACGTCGCCGCCATATTGGTGAAGACAACTCTCATATCGGGACAGGCGAAAACATACCTGACTCGTCGACAGCTTGGGCATCTACAAACCGTCGCACAATAATAAAAACAGACCTCGGGGTATTATCTTTCACAGGTAAGACTGAACAGTTGGTCATTTTTAGCTTTATGCTGACAGCTTAATTAGCCACCAGTGACAGACTATTAATAGCTAAGTAAGCTGTGAAAGCTGAGACTTTATATGAAATCAAAGTTTAAATGAATTCTTAAGTTTTAACTTTATGTTGTAGTTTACATCATAAAGTAAATTGTGTTATGAGCACAATATGTACAGTGAGCACTTTGACAAGACAATGCCAGACTGTCAGGATTAGGGATGGAGCTAAATCATCTCTCTTTAATTTCACTAACGTTACTTATTTACAAAGAGTAAGTTTATCATCACTTGATTATAAGGCTTTCATAGCTTATCATAAATCTGTGGACTTATTATATATACATTTTTTTTCCTTTTTAGCCAATTGCAAACAGGACAATGCAAGCCGAAGAAAGCCTGTTCTCTGCATTTCCAAGAGAGTAGGCTATACTTCCACAGCCTAATGTTGTATTAATACTAGTTAAAACCCAGAATAGCCCTGAATGAATGGCCAGAATTACCCTGCTCATATTCAAACCACACACTCTCTCTCCCCCCCTTACTTGTTTCTTACTTTGTTTTTACTTTATAATTTACTATTAATTTATTCTCCATTATTGTCTATTCTGTATTATTCCACCCTTGATATTACATATTCTACTTGTCTATTGTTATTCATTTATTAATTTTGGTATTATACATATAATTTATTCTGTTATAAATCTATTATATACTGTTGTATTTGCTTTTTATACTCTACACTTTACTACAACTTGTACTGCATATACTTTTTAATATTACATATCACTTTTACTGTGCACTGTATCAGTGCATAATATTTTGCCACTGTAACTGTAAGTTTTACTGGATCCATAAAAGATTATCAGTTGCATTTGTTATTGTTTGTTGTGGAGTTTATCTGTATAGAGTGCTATCAAAATAAAAAGCAGACTACCAAGAGTGTCACTTTTTGATTTGTATTCGCTGGTTTTATTCAATTTTCTCAATGATTTTAAATTATTAGTGCTTAAAGATGCATTATTTTGATTTTCTTCCAGTATTTCAAAGGGAATGAGCTGTGTTCTGACCTGAAGCACAAGAAAAGCTCAAATGTTGGGGTTGAAGACAGAGAAAGCAATGAAACAACTTAATTTCATTTAATGTACATTCAAATGACAAAACATG